CCCATAGTTGCTGTCAGGGAACTGCCATCAGAACAGGGGCGGGAAACAGAGGGGCAGTTGTGTTACAGGAAGCCTCCGAAAATCTTGCGAAGCAGTTCTTCTTCCGGTGATGAGGAAAACCCCACCTCCAGTGGGGAAGAGGTGAAAGGACCAGAGGATGCTGGTGGGAGCCTCAACATCGCTCCTGGCAAAGCTGGCCAGGAGGGAAGCACGCCCATTCCGTCACCCACCCTGTGCAGAAGTCTAAAGTGCAAAGAGGGAAGGAAAAGGCTGGGCGTAACAAGACTTTTGTGCTGGGGGAGGTCCAGGAAACAAGCACTCCCGGATTCTGCTAGCGATTGAGGCAGACATGAACTTTGGGGTTCTGCACTGTAAATAGTTTTGCACCTAAATAAAACCTGTAAAAGACAGGTCGGAGTCCTGCCTGGTTACTCGTGAGCAACCACCTTTGCCATCTGACAGTTGCCTTTGACTGGACATAACCGTCCAGGGGTCCTTTACCTTTTTAACTATATACAGTGGTACCTCGCAAGACGAATGCCTCGCAAGACAAAAAACTAGCTAGACGAAAGGGTTTTTTGTTTTTTGAGCTGCTTCGCAAGACGATTTTCCCTATGGGCTTGCTTCGCAAGACGGAAACGTCTTGCAAGTTTGTTTCCTTTTTCTTAACACCGTTAATACTGTTGTGACTTGACTTCGAGGAGCAACTCATAGAACGCGGTGTGGTAGCCTTTTTTGAGGTTTTTAAAGACTTTGGTATTTTTGAAGCTTTTCCAAAACTTTCCCGACACCGTGCTTCGCAAGACGAAAAAAATCGCAAGACGACAAAACTCGCGGAACGAATTAATTTTGTCTTGCGAGGCACCACTGTACTGAATAACAGCAATTGTAGCAGTTCAGCTAACCAGCTGCTGGTGTTTAGCCTTCTTCTGGGCTTAGGTTTGCCTTTCGACTAGCAGGGAATCTCAGTGAAACACAGTTTTATACTATAAGCCTTGGGAACAAGGGTACACTTGTCTTGTTAGGCCTCAGATACAGTTTTCCACCCTGAGCCTTTTGGGACAAGCACAATTTTAAATATATGGGGAGTGAGAAAGAGACATGTACAAAAGGATAAAAAAGGAAGTCAAATGACAATCCTACCTACTTCTGCACCCTGGGGTATTTCATTTCAGTGTCTGAAAAAATGGTACAATTGGGTACAGGAAATTAGCAAGCAGTTGTAGCATCCCCTAACGAGTATACTTCAGGTTGGCTTAGGGCTCATTGAGATACCTCAATACAAAGACATTCCCTGCACACAGAAAACAAGCACGTCAGGGACAAGTCTAGCGTTTGGCACGGAGGAGCAGTCACAAGTGGTATAGGCCAGACACAGGTTTGCCACCTAATTAGGATTGAGAGAAAGAGAGAAATGGAAGCAGATAGGTAGGATGGGATACCACCTTAGCTGCTAAGGCTTTGCACTTCCATGATGGCCCATTGTTTGTATTTAAGAGGGTTGTTCTAAGAAAATTCCTGAGCATCTGGTCTACTGGGGCTGAACAGAGATATTTCCCCAAACCTATCTGGAACCTCAGATGACAAAACTCTTGTGCGTTAACTAACTTTTCAGCAGGGTTGTGGTGGCTGAAGATTACAGCGTGGTTCTTTATCAGGTGAGGCAGTCTTCCTCTAAAGGCAGGACCTTGACTTAGCTGACGTTTCATGTCAGCTCCCACAATCCATCTGGCTGGCCCTTCAGGGTATTTTCTGATGCTCCCGCATACGATGACCCCGAAAGTGCTCTTTGCAGAGGCAGCGTCTCACTCGGTGGCAAATGCCAACACCTTTTGTTTTGTGACTGAGCGAATCCCCCAAACTGCAACTTCTCTCTCGGTCTCCAAAAACGATACGTGCAAAATAGTTCTGAGCCCGTACTAAGCACCATGGATACCTACTGGCACCCCCCGCCCCGAAGGGTCGGAATCAGAGGAGCTGTCGCCACTGCGAACTGTCGGCAGGAACCACCCAAGCGGAAGCTGGTTGGGGGAAGTGACAACTGATTTTGATTGCTCCAGACTGAAGGACTCTTCAGGAAGGCCAGAGGCCTCGAGGCACAGAGCAGCAACATCCCAGCAATGCACAGTGATCTGTGAAGAGAGCTGTCGTGACTCCACGGCATCCCTCAACTTCCATGCAAGCTTGCGGAGGGGCGGGGGGGGGGACAATGACAACATGCTGATCTCCTTTGCTCACAAAATAGCTAATCAGGGCTTCCTAAATCATGCAAAAAGAAACTTTTTTTCCACCAGGGCGGGAAGTTCAGCGCGTGAGAGAAGAATTTTGTTTGTGTTAAAAAGCCCCAAAGCACTGCAGAAATAGAAGCTAAGAGAAAATAATATATGCTCAGCAGGTGGGCAGATTTCCCTCTCTCTTTTCTGCCCCCGCCCAGCACCCTGCTCACAGCAAGCCAACTGCTACAGTAAAAAACCTTAGACTAAATTTAAAGAGCCACGTCACAAGTATTGTGGTTAAGAGGCTGATGACAAACTCACCCGTCCATCTTCATGCCAACCGTCCACACAAATCCTACACATCTCTACACAAAAAGGCACCCTATTGACAAACCAGTAGCCCACAGAAAGCCAGCAAGGAGTTGGATCCAGCAGTGCAAGATAAGAGAATAAAAGCAGCCCAAAGGTCTAAATTATGGGCAGGCAAACTAAGGCCCAGGGGCCGGATGTGGCCCAACCATCTTCTCAATCCAGCCTGCAGACGTGTTTTTACATGAGTAGAATGCATTCTTTTACTTAAAATGCATCTCTGGGTTATTTGTGGGGCATAGGAATTCGTTCATATATTTTTTTCAAAATATAGTCCAGCCCCCCACAAGGTCTGAGGGACAGTGGACCGGCCCCCTGCCTAAAAGGTTTGCTGACCCCTGGTCTAAATGATCCAGCAATCTCTTTCCCACAGTGGCCAACCAGATGCCTATGGAAAAAATTGCAAGCAGGACTAGATTGTAGCAACAGAGGAATACTTCTCTGATACAGAAGGAAATATACCCCCGTCGTGACTAGTAGCCACTGATAGTCTTATTCTCCTTTTAAATCCATCCAAGCTGGCAGCCATCACTACTTTCATAGAATTGTAGAGTTGGAAGGGACCACGAGGGTCATCTAGTCCAACCCCTTCCAATGAAGGAAACTTTTTGCCCAGTGTGGGGCTCAAACCCACGACCCTGAGATCTCATACGCTGCCAACTGAGCTATCTCGTCATTTGCTTCCCTACCCAGTCTCTTTTTTCTAAGCTAGAAAGTCCCAAACAGTGTAACCTTTTTCTTATAAAGGAGTTGCTCCAGTGCCTTGATCATTTTGGTTGCTTTTAAATTTAATTTCTCATTTTTAAAAATATCCCTTTTGAGGAGTGGGGTCCAGAATTACATGCCCAGCATTCCAGGTGTGGCTGAACCATAGATTTGCATAAATATGCTATGACAAAATACGCTAAGTTTTATTTTCAATGTAATTCCTTTCCTAATGAAGTAGATTCTAAGTTTAAGAATTTTGTTTAGATATTCATTCCCCGCCCCCTTTTATATAAGTCACAACTTTGAGAACTTATACAGATCTTCAGCTGAACTTTAATTGCTGCAACTGAGGTTTTATTCAGGTGCAACATGAGGTCATGTTAATCCATAGGATTAAGGACAGAGTAGGCTCAATCTAAGAGATTACTAGGACCAACAGGTAAAGCTTGATAAAACTGCCATTAAGATAATGCGGAGTCAACAATACGAAGATTTCCAGGGTCAGTTAGAGAAGAACCTGAACGACGGGAATGTTCCTAAATAGCAGAGAATGATGTGAAGACAGTTCCACCTTCAGAGTTGAAGGAAGGGTGGGCTATAGATGTAACAAGTAAATAATATCTGCCAGAGAGAAAGAAATCATGAATGGGTGGATCCAGATTAGAAGGCAGGCACTGGAGGTGATGGAACATAGGGAATGGTTGGATAGCTGTGGGCTGCCAGGGGCTGGACTGAGGAGGAATGGTGGGGGCTGCCCCCACCTTCTCCTGAACCTTCCTGAGAACAGGAGGACAGTATAGATTTAGAACAGTGGTTTGCAGAAGGGCATAGTTCAGAGGCTGCAGAGTGGAAAAGCTGGGAAATATTGGGAGAGGAACAGCAGGAAGAAGCAGCACCGGGGGCACGACAACTGACAGACTCAGTGTCTTTGGAAAGCGTTCCTGAGCCCCCCTCTCCCAGGACAACATTGAGAGTAGTAGAACAGAAAGCTTACAGGCAGAAAACTCAAATTAGCCGGCACAGGGATGACGTAGAATAGGAGAAATGGAGGGGGTTGGAATTTACTCGGAGTAACGCCATTATTTAACAGAGATTGCATTCCTTCGTCTCTCTCTGTGAATACTGAATAAATTACGTGGTAAGAACTATTCTTGTTTATCTGCTTTTTGGGGGAGGGGTCTGATTCCCTGAAGCCTGACATGGGTGGTCACTGTGGTCTACCTCCCTTTAAGAAGAGGTGACTCCAACTAGCAGAGGTCTGGGTTGAGGGCAAAGAGCAAGAGATAGTTCTGCCAACCCACCAAACCCTACCTTGCTATAACTATTTATTTTTTGTCTAAGAAATTTATATACTGCTTAATTATACAGTCATACCTCTTGTTGCGTTTGCTTCAGGTTAAATCTTTTCAGGTTGTGTCCTGCGGTGACACGGAAGTAACGGAATGCGTTACTTCCGGGTTTCGCCGCTCGCGCAGGCGCTCAAAATGATGTCACGCGCATGCGCAGAAGCGGCAAATTGTGACCTGCAGACGCGCAGATGCGGGTTGTGTTCTGCTCATGTTGCGAACAGGGCTCCTTAAAGGATCGCGTTCGCAACCAGAGGTACCACTGTATACATTTCTAAACACTGTACATAAAAGAATGGGACAATAAAGAAAAGGAAATGCCCATAAAACTGAACTAGAGCAGAAGTGCCTCGTGACCCACCTGAGTGTGTTCGGAGGTGCCCCGTGAGTGCGTCTCTCCTCCGACAGGCATAGTTACAGAAGGGACATTTGAAGGGCTTCTCGCCCGAGTGCAGCTTGATGTGGCGCAGGAGGTTGCCCTTTTGGGTGAAGGAGGCACCGCACTGATTGCAATGGAACGGCCTCTCACCTAGGAAGAAGAAGAAGAAGAATAGCGCATTGGGATGAGTATCCAGAAAGGTTAGCCTCGATCCTTGCTTTCACTGATGAACCATGACGCCCAGTTCAAACATGCTGATAAACTGAGTTTAAAGGAAACAAACAGACTCGGGGTTGTATTCAGTGTAGTGTTAAATGGTGCAGGTGGCGCTGTGGCCTAAACCACGGAGCCTCTTGGGGTTGCCGATCAGAAGGATGGCAGTTCAAATCCCCGTGACGGGGTGAGCTCCCATTGCTCGGTCCCAGCTCCTGCCAACCTAGCAGTTCAAAAGCACTCCAGTGCAAGTAGATAAATAGGTACCACTGTGGCGGGAAGGTAAACAGCATTTCTATGCGCTCTGGTTTCCATCACAGTGTCCCGTTGCGCCAGAAGTGGTTTAGTCGTGCTGGCCACATGACCCGGAAAGCTGTCTGCGGACAAATGGCGGCTCCCTCAGCCTGAAAGCGAGATGAGCACCACAACCCCATAGTCATCTTTGACTGGACTTAACCGTCCAGGGGTCCTTTACCTTTTTTTTAACTAAGTGGGCAGTTCCACTGAGGCAAGGATTTCTCATTGTGCAGCAGAACTATCTCCCCCTCTGCTCCCCCCCCTTCCTAAATCCAGTCTGGGGAATCCTCCAACTCTCTGGAAGAGGAGAGGGAGGAAGTCCCATTGTGCTAGTGCCAATCCTTGTGCTAGCACAATTATTTCATTTAACACTGTCCCCCTAAGTCCTCCACGGAGCTGTTCAGGAGCAAGCATGAGTGCTTCCAGCTCATGCGTCTTGCAGAAAACCATGGTTTAGCATGACATGTGGATGTGTGAAGTACTCTGAATGCACCTGGATTGATCTAACACCCAGTCTTGTAAGGAAAGAGTTATAAAGCAGTTCAGAGCCTTATGAGGCTAAAGAGCCTGAGCGTGACACATAGAACTTTTAGACCATTGAGACTTAAAGCAGTATACAAGTGCAAAGCACATGCATCAGCCCTTACGGTTACCAGCAGCCATGCCTGCTCACCGGTGTGGCTGCGCTTGTGCACCATCAGTACGTTCGGGCCAATGCACACCATCCCACAGATATCACATTTCAGCTTGCCATTGGGTAGCCGGATGCCGCCAGGGGAATGTGGATCCTGCCCTGTCCCGTCACAGTAGCCGAGTGGCTCAGAGAGAGAATCCTCCACAATCACGCTGTCCTCTTTTTCAATGAGCCGGTCGTCATGCGACAGCAGCCGGCTTGATTCTTCATCACTGTACATTTCCACCTTGATAGAATTTGCTACGGAGGGAAAAGATGTAAAAACAAAAAAACAAAGCACGTACAGGTTTGTGACAAGTATTTCTAAACAGTTAACTTTTTTTTTTAAAAAAAGGTGTTATGGTCCAGGAGAGTGAAAAGAGACTTCTAAAAAAATAACCATCAATAATTATTAATAGATCCTACTAGCATCTAAGGCCAGGTGGGTGGGGAGAATGACAGAAATTTCTAAAATTATGTATGATGTGTGTGTGGGGGTGAGAGATTTATCCTTCTTTCCCACTATTTTAGATCATCCCTTGACACTGATTGGGAGCAAATTCAGCACAAACCAATGGAGTATTTATTCAGAAAGTGCATCAGCAACTTATGGGATTCAGTGTTACAAGAGAGCCAGTGTGGTGTAATGGTTAGAGTGCTGAACTAGGACCTGGGAGAGCAGGGTTCACTCGGCCATGAAGCTCACTGGGTGACTTTGGACCAGTCACTATCTCTTACCCTAACCTACCTCACTGAGTTGTTGTCAGGATGAAATGGGGAGAAGGAGAACCGTGTGACCACCTTCTTGGAAGAGAAATGTGACATATAAACGTAATAAATAATATAAATGAGCCACTAGTTTAGAAGGAACTTTAAAAAGGGATTAGACAAATTCATGGAGGATGGGGCCATAAATGAGCATCAGTCACATCAGCTAAGTGAACTACTGTGTTTACTTTTTTAACTGCCAGTTGGTATAGGGCAACAGTAGGGTTCTTCTTATGTTCTAGAGCAGGCATCCCCAAACTCAGCCCTCCAGATGTTTTGGGACTACAATTCCCATCATCCCTGACCACTGGTCCTGTTAGCTAGGGATCATGGGAGTTGTATTCCCAAAACATCCGGAGGGCTGAGTTTGGGGATGCCTGTTCTAGAGTAGCAAAAGGTGTAAAAATCAAATACAATCCCCAGTGCTCCAAATAATGTAGGGCTCAGCACATGGGGGGGGGGAGGGGGGAGAAGACCTCTCCTCCTCCACTAGATGCCCAGCAAGGTAGAAAGGAAGTTTCACTCTGAAAATACAGGCAGGAAAACAGTCTGAAGAGCAGCCTTCTAAGACTCAGGGATTTTTCTGCCAGCAGCCTGCAAGAATGTTGTGGCAGCTTTTCTATAGACAGAAGGTCAAGAGTCCTAAACCCAGGGTCTGGTTTCTAAAAGGTTCAGTTAAGAATGCGCAAAAATGCTATGACATTAGCAAGAAGAGCTCTTTGCTAGGGGAACACACAGCCAGCCTGTAAATCCAACCACATCAGCTGGTGCAACAATGGACGCTCGTCCCATTTCAAGGTGCACAAATGGGCAACCAAATATTTAAAATCTGGCCCTTTCCAAGCCAGAGACAGGGGAAGCTCGCAACTTGGAAAGCAGGGAGCATCTAGTGCAGGGCTTCCTCCTGAAGCAGCTAATGGAATGTAAAGCTTGAAAAACGAGGACTTCCTGTTTCGACCGACGGACACATGGAGCAGCCTCCACCGCAGAAGGAATGCTGTTGTGAGGCCTTGCTGAATAAACACTCCTGAACCTTTGGTACATGGCCAGGTTACATCATTCCAAGGAGTGTACTGAAAAGAAGGACTCTCATATGCGAATCTCCTCCCAATTACTAAGTCCCACTGCGTTCTCTTCCAAGCAGCATTCCGCTGCAATGGGAAAACAGGAGGAAGCTGCCTTATACCAACTCAGTCCATTGGTCCATGTAGCTCAGTATTGTCCACCATAACTAGCACACGCTTGCTGCACATGCATCAGGACCACCTATTAATACAGAGGAAGATGGGGAGCCTCAAAATGAAAAGGGAAGCTGAGCCCTTATCCCTCCCTTGTTCTCTTTTTGCTTCAGGTAATTTTCTCCCAATACAGCGTGGGAATAGGCTGGGAGCAAAATGCCCATAACAGCAAAGCATAGGCAGATAAAGGGAGGGAGAAGGTTCAGTTCTCTCACCTGTGTATCCTTCTTTTCTTAAAATTAAAAAGCCCAGCACCACCTGCTTCGTATATAAACACAGCAGGCACGTGAACAAAGGCGCTCCAATCATATTTGGTTTGCTTCCCGCAAAGGATGGCACTTTTAGCTATGCTCATGTGTTTTGGGATAAGGAAACAATATGAACCAGCCTTCCCCAACCTGGTGCCCTTCAGATGTTTTGGACTCCAACCCGCATCAATCCTAATCGGCATATCCCCACAGCATGATGGAAATTGAAGTCCAAAACATACGGAGGGCGCCACGTTGGGGAAGGCTAGCCGGCTGATATAATCCCTTCAGGCTCTCCATGAAATGTCACCTAGAATTTTTTCACACCCAGGGCAGAATAAAGATAATAGTTTGAGTTTCCTCACTTGAAGCTTTATTTATTTTTATTTTTTTCCTAAGTACCGTATTTTTCGCCCTATAGGACGCACCTTTTCCCCTCCACAAATGAAGGGGAAATGTGTGTGCGTCCTATGGGGCGAATGCAGGCTTTCGCTGAAGCCTGGAGAGCGAGAGGGGTCGGTGCGCACCGACCCCTCTCGCTCTCCAGGCTTCAGGAGAGCCGCAGCGCCAGCCCCACAAGGTCGGGGGACAGCGGGGAGGCGGAACGCTGCCATCCCGCTGTCTCCCAATGTGGTTTGGAGGCTGACGGAGGGGAGACGCGTGCTTCTCCCCGCCGCCAGCCCCGCAAGCTCCGGGGACAGCGGGGAGGCGCAGCGCGTCTTCCCGCTGTCCCCGGACCTGGTCTGCAGGCGGGCGGCGGGGAGAAGAGCGCTTCTCCCCGCTGCCAGCCCCACAAGCGCCTGGGGGAGAAATAAACATTTGTTTCTTTATTTCCCCCCCAAAAAAACTTGGTGCGTCCTATGGGCCGGTGCGTCCTATGGGGCGAAAAATACGGTAACTCTTTAATAATGCACACACAATTACGATTCTTTAAATAATATTAGTGATTGTTATCCTAATATAAAATGGGTGGGGGGAGAGAGAATGGAATGCCCTGCTTGGCAGAATGGTTGACTGGGGGAGGGCCTTGAACACAAGCACATTTGTCAGAAGGATGCATTACAACATTTAGTTGCAAGGACCATTTTGTCATGTTCTGGGCAAGTACCATTTGAAATTTGCTCCAGCAAAGGCTGGAAGCAGACTGAGGCTTTTTAAGCCTGTCTCCAGATGACTTCCACTGGGCTCCATCCCCCTCACCTGAAGCTTTCTAAGTGTATATATTGTAACATCACGAATGGAAATCGTTAATTATATAGCTGTTGACTAGGGGATTGTTATTATAACTGACATCAATTACGATTATGGAACACAGTGATGTAAGATCGGAAATGCACCCAAACCATCATGCAGGGAGCCGATTTTAACGAAAATGTATTAATTGGAAGTTGACTGGCACTTTTGAGAATTGAATAATTTGGGAATTAATTGTTACTGCTATAATTTGGCTATTATTGGAAGTACGGTGGTACCTCGGGATGCAAACGGGATCCATTCCGGAGCCCCGTTCGCATCCTGAATAGAACGTAAGACGCAACTGCGCGAGTCGCGTTTTGCTGCTTCCATGCATGATGTCATTTTGAACGTCTGCGCATGCATGAACGGCGAAATTCGGAAGTAACATGCTCCATTACTTCTGGGTTGCCACAGAGCACAACCCGAAAGCGTTCAACCTGAAGCACATTCAACCCGAGGTATGACTGTGTATTGGAATACTAATAAAAAAAATGTTAAAAAAGAAAAGAAATGGCACCTAGAATTAAGGCGGCAGTTACCATGTTCATTCTTAAAGAGTGTTTGATTTGTGGCATTCCACAGAGCATTGGAATAGTTAAGAATGTAGGTCATTGCCCGCATCTCTGCTTTTTCCTCTCTTATCTAGTTGCCACCTATTCATGCTATACAAACTGAAGGTAGCAACTCGAAGGCCTTGCACACACAGCTACGGCTGGCAGCCATGGCAGGAGGCTAGTGCAGAGAATTTACCTGTGCTCCCAGAATATCTCGGCATTAATTGCATTAATAGAAGCCAGCTTGCTTAGGGTAGGCATACACTCCTGTTTATACATCTTGGAGATCCAGCTGCAAGCCGACACCTCTGTGCGCAAATATGAAGTGAAAACCTGCTCGCTGTGGCAGGAGCTGCTTGGGTATATTGATGCTGGTTGAACTTTGATGTTTTTTTCGCTCCCCTGGGGATGAGTGTTTCTTTTTCTCTCTCCCCCACAGCAAACGGAGGGCTGGCTTTTGTTCTGCAACTTTCCTTACAGAAGGAAGGCAGAGTCTGGTTGGGTTGGCAAAACAGGTTATGTAATATTTCTGCTCCACTGGGGCATGAGCTTGCTGGCTGAACCAGCTGTGAAATCAAGACTGATCAGAAGCAACGGTATCAGGCAGCGTCTCCCTTTTAAAGGGGAAGATACTCATTTCCTATTTGTTCAAACCATACACTGGATTCTCCTCCTGTTACACTGAACAAGTGTGATCATGCTTTTCCAGGGGATCAACTAAATTTTAACGCAGCGGATGTGTTAACATGGACATTTGAACGTTCCTTTCTAAATGTCTAAAACTGGATTTAATTGTTGGTTTTTATAAGCCAACTGTAATTGGTTTTATAAACCAACTGGACTGTAATATAAACCTCCCGTTATTTCAGATAAAGAATGAAGAGGATGTTATAGCTGTCTGTCCTGCCAACCTAGCAGTTCGAAAGCACGTCAAAGTGCAAGTAGATAAACAGGTACCGCTCCAGCGGGAAGGTAAACGGCGTTTCCGTGTGCTGCTCTAGTTCGCCAGAAGCGGCTTAGTTATGCTGGCCACATGACCCGGAAGCTGTATGCCGGCTCCCTCGGCCAATAAAGCGAGATGAGCGCCGCAACCCCAGAGTCTGTCACAACAGGACCTAATGATCAGGGGTCCCTTTACCTTTACCATATAGCTGTCTAACACAAAGTGGTATTATCAGGTGAGAGACAATAGTCAGAAGTCAAGTCTGAGAACGCTAATCTTTCCCATACATTAACTCTGCAACATGGTGGTCATACTTTTCAGCAAAATTCTCAAAAAAGAAAAAAAGGAAAGCCCAGTTGATAATTTCAGGAGGAAATGCTGGTGGTTGCAGAATATGGCAAATTAGAATGCATCAGCGCAAACAAATCTTTTTCCAACACCATCTGAATATAGAGTCCTCTCCCGCATCTCCAACTCTTCGCTCACATGATCTAGCACCACTGGTGCTTTCCCAGCAACCACAATTTCCAGTCATTCACTCACTATGAGAGGAAATGCCTTCTTTGTCGATAAATGTGTCAGGAACCAAACAGTGACTTTCAAATCTCTCAAACTAAAAATCTGAGCAGGAGAGAATACTAGGCAGAAAGATCAGATAATCCAAGGCTGCTGTATAAAAGCTGCCTCTTTTCCAGGGCCTCATCCAAAAGGTAAATTCTTCGCTGATGTGATTATCTTTGTGCAGACCTTTTTGGAGGATTTCAAAGGTGGTCTCTGCCTTGATCACAGCTTGGGCCCAACCACCTTTTGGACATAAACTACAGGAATCAGAAAATGACGTACTTACCACTAAGGGAGCGGCTTGGGGAGGAATGTTGGCTGTTTGGTGTGCTCACAGTAGGGCCCACAATCGTGGAGGTGAACTCCTTTTCCAAAGAGGAATCTCCACTACCTTTGGGGAACAAAAAGAAGCGGAGAGCACAGGTAAGCCTCGTTTCAAGAAACCAAGAAATATTTTTCCTGTGCTTAGGACTGAAGGAAAGGGAACTCTCCTGATGAGTTTGAGTAAAGTCTAGATTTTGCAGCCTACAAAATCTGAATGAAAAAAATTCCACTGGTGCTCTGACTGAATGAAAACCTAGCAGGAGGAATCCCAAAAATTCCCAACCTTGTATATAATAAGTGCCCTGTTCTTACACCGTATAGTTTATGATGATCAGATGATTATCATTGTAGACCCAGATACAATGAACATCCGACCAGCATTTCAGAAGAGAGATGTCAGATACTGATAGAACCAGCTCTATTACATACATAAAGCAGCCTTCTTGTATTTATAAGACTGAATTCATAAATGTTTTCAGAATGATGATACTGGTTTAACATGTATAACATGCATTGTCAAAATAAGCCTGCAGCCTCTAAGCTACCCGAATGCTTGTAACCAATATATGCAGCAGCACTTGGGAATCATCAAAGAAGTGCAAATATCTCATTACATGGCAATTACAGGATAAAGGGATCCCCATTTAAAATTTGAATCACCTTAAATAAAAGCCAGGATATACGTAGCTTTGTTGTTGTGCAAATAATACGCAATATGAATACAGAAATGTGTCATACAGAAGAGTTTCAACATGAAGTCTCATGGAATAGCTGATTATATATATATATATATATATATGAGACTGCGGAATCCAGGCTCAAGATAACAATACTACAGTGAACTGATTTCAAATACATTCTTCATGTATGGATTCCTGTGTTGTTTGCTGTTGCTTCCAAGAGGAAGAAAGCATGCACCAAAAGCACTTGCTTAGTTCGTTCTCTTTATCTATTTATGGGGAAGAACATGAATCGGTTGCATATAAAGTTCTTATTAACGGTTTATTAGCTACTGTGTACATGGAAGTCATGCAACACTAGGGAGTTCGCAGAATCTTGCATTTTACTTTTTTTTAGAGTCTGACAGCTTGCCCTTTTAGAGAAGTTAACCCAACTAAATGATCCAAATGTGCACTCTTTAGTGTGCAGTTTCCATTTCTTCCATTAATAAGAACCCATCCTCCCTATGCCCACCTCATTCATTATTTTGGAAAGAGTGTGGGTTGTATTCAACAACAGTCATGCTCTAAGTAGGACCAATGGAATTTATGGACATGGCTAAGTTTGGTCCATTCATTTCAACAAGTCTGAGAAGAACTTCATTGGATTCAACCCAATCTTACTTAAGAGAGGAATTCAACTAAGTTTTACTCAGAGTAGACCCACTGCAATTAATGGACTTAACTTAGTCATGTTTATTAATTTCAATGGGTCAATTGCTTGCACTGACACAACAATCTCCTTAGTGCTATGTTATATTCCACCCATTATCCCATTAAAAAAAAAATTAATTGTACTGTACACTGTATACTGAAAACACAACCTATCAATAAAAAAAACTACTTGTTTAGTGACTTAACATGACTACAGAGGGACAGAATCACTAAACAAGACACATCAGTGCACTTTACACACCCATATTAAATACTTGCACTGGTGTATCTGCCTGCAGCTCCACCAATTTAAAGGAGTTAAGTGTGCTCAATCTAAAGACTCAGTTTAAGATGGGGCATGATCATCTTTATGTTTTATAACGAAGCCAAATGAAGGTATGGGAGGATGTTGCTCCTTTTGGATATAACATTCCTGGCTTGCTATAGGATTGCAGCCTACCTCCTTTTGCATGCATTGGGGGGGGGACCCTCTTAAATAAACTTTGTTCATTTAAACTAAATAAACCAGGATAACTAACTACGCCAAAGTTAACATAAAATGGGAGACCCAATGTTTGTCGCTGACTTGCTAAGGAATCTCCAGCCTGTCGGTGTGTCATTAGGCCCAGTGTAGGTCCCAATTTAGCCCACAAAGCCATTTTCTCCAAACCACATCAACCTTCCTCCATACTTGATATCTTATGTGGGGCAGAGAAGGGCATGGTTCCAAAGGAATAATCTAGAAACGACTGGGATCTTCAAGGGAACTCTGGACTGTTCTTTTCCAAGCAGGGCTTGCTGATCTGGTGGAGTCCCATATTGTCTATTTGTAGCTAATTAGCAGCTAATTAAAGCAAGCCCTTTTGAAGCTGTCCCAGGAGGTCATAATGATGCCAGGAGGTTGACAGGTAGGCAGAGCTGCCCACCTGTCAAAGTTGGCCCACAGGTGTGCATGAGGGAAGGATTTAGCTTGCCAGCCACGTTCAGTTCCCTACCCCTGTGCTAAACTGCAGTTTAGCAATCCAGGATAATTACAACTTAACCAGTCCATTGTAGAAAGCAGCAGGGAAGCAGAGCAGAAACCATGGAATGCTAATTGACGGTAGCTTGGTAAACTGCATTTATCACTGTTTCTCGCTGAAGGTTTTTGAAGAGACTGGAAGGAATGTCTTGGGCTTAAATCTCACCGATGTGACAAAATCTGTCTCAGTTCTCCTATTTCAGAATGCAGGTGGGGGCTCACAGGAGTCCACGCTCCTCCATACGAGAAAATCCCTGCGCACAGGAAAGAAGCGTTACAGCTGTCAAGACAGGAGGTTACTAGAGTATGCAGAAGTGTAGCCAGGCTGAACAGCAGCAGCTGACAAACCAGGCAAAGCTGGAAATTGGCACTCCTCGCCACTTGATGCCACTGGGGCCTTGTGTAGCAATGATGGCCACTGAATGTCTGCTATCTCCTTCCACACTGCAGCTTAAGACCGTGGGTTGTATCAAACGTAGCGTGAAGTTAAAGAAACTTAGCAATGTACTTGTTCCATTAGTGGGTTAACTTGCGCGAGAGGTTCCAAAAACCAAACAGCCTGGATTTTAAAGTACAATTTGTACACCTGTGCTAGTGCAAGCTCTTGCGCAATCGTTACATCGGCGGACCTGCTACGTGGGTTTACCCCTAATATGCAACACAAGCCTAGACAGCATCTTAAAAAGCAGAGACATCACCTTGCCAACAAAGGTCCGTATAGTAAAAGCAATGGTTCTCCCAGTAGTGATGTATGGAAGGGAGAGCTGGTCCATAAAGAAGGCTGATTGCTGAAGAATTGATGCTTTCAAATTATGGTGCTGGAGGAGACTCTTGAGAGTCCCGTGGACTGCAAGAAGATCAAACGTATCCATTCTGAAGGAAATCAGCCCTGAGTGCTCATTGGAAGGACAGATCGTGAAGCTGAGGCTCCAATACTCTGGCCACCTCATGAGAAGAGAAGACTCCCTGGAAAAGACCCTGATGTTGGAAAAGATGGAGGGCACAAGGAGAAGGGGACGACAGAGGACGAGATGGTTGGATAGTGTTCTCGAAACTACCAGCATGAGTTTGACCAAACTTCGAGAGGCAGTGGAAGACAGGAGTGCCTGGCGTGCTCTGGTCCATGGGGTCACGAAGAGTCGGACACGACTAAACGACTAAACAACAACAACAAATGCAACACTGGAAAACAGACCTCTGCTTTCACAAGGAAACTTGCACGAGCGGACTAACAGCTCTGGATACAACCCTTTGACTTAAATACAGACTCAAGCCATTACTTAAACATCAGCCAAGCTCTTCCCTCTAGCCTGGTGAAGGGTTCTGTGGAACCTGAAAGTTTACTCAGTACAAAGGTAATGTCTCCTAATGTTGTCTTTTTTTCTTATGAGTCAACTTGAGTACTTTTGCTTTTCTATTTATTCAGATGAAAATAAGAACAACTTCCCTGCACTGCATTTAGAGAAGCAGGATCAGTACATAATGACTGCAATGAAAATACTGTAGCAATGCCAGCCCCCTGAACGTCTTTTCTGCAAGGCACTCTCCCCTCACCCCAATTCCTGTTTAGTGCCCCCGTTGTTTGGAGGCACTCTTATCTACTTCGGAAAAAAGCAAGTTCTAAAAGACAGGAAGCATGTCTGGAGACATTCTCATCAGAGAGGCTTTAGTACAGAGACAGGTGATTTTCTTCAGAGTTTGAACGAGCTGCTGTTCTCATGCCCACATAGCTTAGCACATTCCAGGATCTGCCACGATAAAGGAAACAGACTGTTCCGACCAGGTGAAGTCAAATTTAACACAGGCACAGCATGCAAGGCTGGTGCCTTGTGATCATTTTACCTTTAAGGAAAAGTTGTTGCTTTCTTCTCCCAGGTGGGCCCCAAGGCCAAGACTTTCTGGATCCTGAAAAAAGGAATTTCACCCTTTCCCTTAACGCTGTCATTCCTCAGGTGGGTAAACAGGAGAGTCTGCGTCATAGTAAGCCTATCTCTGCAAGTGCCTAGAAGCAGCCACACACCCCTCAATATGGATATTAATCGTTTAATTAGAAGTTAGCCATGATACGGCTAAGCAAAATAGGCACCAGCAGCAAACAGTTCGCAGCGGAGCACATTTAAGCAGCAATGACTCGAACCAAGGATTTCTTCTGCTCGTTGCCAGAACACAGAGAATTATGGCCCTGACCCCTTCCCTGGGCTTTTACTAAATAGCAAATGGTGGAGGAAGAAAAAGGGAGTGTGGGTCTTTAACAGCCTCGTCCACTGCTTTTATAACACATACATTTATCTTTCCCCTTTGATTGCTCATCCCTAACCGATCGCCTGCAGTTGCATTTCTGATTTCGAACAGACTCTATCCCCCACCCCACCCCGACACAGACGATGAAGGAATTCTAGAGATCAATTTACTTGCATCGAAAGTCAGCCACTTCCTGCACTGTTCTGCATGGCATCAGACACACCCCAAATGGCGCCAAGTGTAAATGAAAACAGAAAAGAGCATGGAGTTATTTCACACGGCCACCCCGCTCCCCATTTAACTTACATTATTCTAGCTTGCTGAAGATACCCTGGAGTGTTATCACAGCCAACTCCTTGGAAACAGCACTGGAATACAGACTGTGTGTGTGTGTGGCTGCATCTCGGCAGTAGGGTGAACTCAGCCACTCAC